ATTCGCAAAAGCTCCGCATTGATTATTGCGAATGCGAATATTAAAATTAATGCGAAAGCTCCGCGGTTGTCAATGCGAATGCGAGTATTCGCAATAACCCTGGTTATATAAAATGCATATTTTCAATGGCTTAAAAGAAGTTATTGCATTAACTGGATTGAGAGAAGTGGTTCAACAATCCAACCAGAAGCTGACGTACATAGATGCATCCTTGGTTACTATGCCCGACAGCTCCGTATACCTTTGTGAACTCATTTCCATATCGCGCTCTTACTCCGCTACTTTAATTCCACAATTTTCTTCAAAATACGTAAAATTAAACAATTTTACTATAAATAAGCACTTGATTTTTTTATTCCTTTACCCTTTGTTTTCCTTCATNCATTAACTGGATTGAGAGAAGTGGTTCAACAATCCAACCAGAAGCTGACGCACATAGATGCATCCTTGGTTACTATGCCCGACAGCTCCGTATACCTTTGTGAACTCATTTCCATATCGCGCTCTTACTCCGCTACTTTAATTCCATAATTTTCTTCAAAATATGTAAAATTAAACAATTTTACTATAAATAAGCACTTGATTTTTTTATTCCTTTACCCTTTGTTTTCCTTCATACAGCTGACTTCGAAAAATAACTGATACTTGGCAATGCTGCACATGTTTCCGCAAGGATTTCAGCATGCCGATTTTTCGTTTTTCATAGCGAAGCTACGAACTACGGGAGTTATTCCAAAAGTACCCGACCCAACAAAGAAAACACAAATATTTTGGAAAAAATATATTTATCTTTCAACATAATCTCCTTTCAGCTCTACACACTTTTCCCAGAGATGTTCAATAAGTTCTATACCCTTTTAGTAGTAAAAAGCCATTATTTCAAGTTGGGAGACAGAAAGTAATCCGAGGAGGCTAAATCTGGCGAATCGGATGCATGAGGTAGCAGTTAAAACATTTCTTCATTAATTCGCTAACACTCAATTGGAACCTCTTCACGACACTGTTTTTGCTCGAGCACCCATCTTACACACAGCTTTCTCATTTCCAAATCTTCATATAATATGCGATGTACCGTAATTTTTGAAATGTGTACTATATCTTCTAGCTCGCGCACTTTCAGTCGACGATCATCCAGTACCGTTTTGTGGATTTTCTTCACCATTTCTGGAGTCATCACCTCATTTGGTCGACCACTGCGATGATCGTCTTAGCACCTCGTACGGACTCGTTTAAACTCTGATACCCAATATTTTACTGTTGTAAACCAGGGTTGTTGCGAATATTCGCATTCGCAACCGCGGAGCCTCCGCATTAATTTAAACGTTCGCTTTCGCATTCGCAATAATCAATGCGGAGCTTTTGCGAATGCGAATGTTGTGGAATTGCGGCGATAAAANGCGCTCTTACTCCGCTACTTTAATTCCACAATTTTCTTCAAAATACGTAAAATTAAACAATTTTACTATAAATAAGCACTTGATTTTTTTATTCCTTTACCCTTTGTTTTCCTTCATACAGCTGACTTCGAAAAATAACTGATACTTGGCAATGCTGCACATGTTTCCGCAAGGATTTCAGCATGCCGATTTTTCGTTTTTCATAGCGAAGCTACGAACTACGGGAGTTATTCCAAAAGTACCCGACCCAACAAAGAAAACACAAATATTTTGGAAAAAATATATTTATCTTTCAACATAATCTCCTTTCAGCTCTACACACTTTTCCCAGAGATGTTCAATAAGTTCTATACCCTTTTAGTAGTAAAAAGCCATTATTTCAAGTTGGGAGACAGAAAGTAATCCGAGGAGGCTAAATCTGGCGAATCGGATGCATGAGGTAGCAGTTAAAACATTTCTTCATTAATTCGCTAACACTCAATTGGAACCTCTTCACGACACTGTTTTTGCTCGAGCACCCATCTTACACACAGCTTTCTCATTTCCAAATCTTCATATAATATGCGATGTACCGTAATTTTTGAAATGTGTACTATATCTTCTAGCTCGCGCACTTTCAGTCGACGATCATCCAGTACCGTTTTGTGGATTTTCTTCACCATTTCTGGAGTCATCACCTCATTTGGTCGACCACTGCGATGATCGTCTTAGCACCTCGTACGGACTCGTTTAAACTCTGATACCCAATATTTTACTGTTGTAAACCAGGGTTGTTGCGAATATTCGCATTCGCAACCGCGGAGCCTCCGCATTAATTTAAACGTTCGCTTTCGCATTCGCAATAATCAATGCGGAGCTTTTGCGAATGCGAATGTTGTGGAATTGCGGCGATAAAACGTATACAGTGACGAGCAAAACTGTAACATGGTGTAACACTTTTTATTTCCGCCACTTTCATACTTTTGTTGTATATTCTTATTCGTACACCCCTACGATTTGAAGGAACTAAAAAAGCAAAAGTATACTGAACATTGTGTTAACAATTCTTTTTTTTTTCGTGAAAAATATCAAAAAGTTATTAAAAATATATAAGTGCAAAACTGTAACATATGCCTTAATTTACATTTTTGCCTGCTGGTTTTATTATTGTTGTTGGATTGACTTCAATTCGTTATGAGAGAGGAAGTACAGGTGTACCAATAAGAATACACAACAAAAGTATGAATGTCGTTAGAACTTGGAAAGATAGCGGCGGCTGATATAAAAAGCGTTACACCATGTTACAGTTTTACTCGTCACTGTATATATCAAACAAAATGACAAATTGTAGCCAATATTTTTGCCTGTGGTCGTGGGAATATTTGTGTAACCAAACTGGTAAAATGATATATTTATTAAGTTTGATAAAAATGCCTATAAACATATTATCTACTTGACCTTTGACGTACGTCAAAGAGAACAAAGTCCTTTTAATATTATTATTTTTTCTGTGCTTTAAATACCTGCATTGGTTTCTTTCTTGATTATGATTTTTTTGGACCAATCTTAAAAAACTACACAAACGACACAAAAGAAGAAAGTGTGCACTGTAATTCTTAACCAAATTTTCGTGATTTGCTTTTGATGTTACATACATTCGTTTCATTCATTTCAAATGGGGCTCTTTGGGGAATTTATTTGTAGCAAAAATTTCAAAAACAGTAATTTTTTTAACTTGTTGGGCAATATCTTTTTCATATGGATATACATTGAATCCTTGGCGAAATACATATGTGGTAAAACTGTCGCTTCTTTGCTATTTAAAGTCAAAGAGTACGCTCCTTTAATAGGAATATCCAGCAGAAATTATAGCCAGACGATAAAGAGAATCGATGCTCAAATAATTAAAAAGCTATAGGTCTGACCTTTACTTAGATAAGGATTACGTAAGTATCTGAGATACAAATGCTTAAAAAAACGGGGTGCTTAAAAAAAATAACAATATTCTGATCCGATTCGGCTGGCATCCACGACTTCGAAACCAGAATTTTGTTCAAAATTTTCATTCCTGGAAAATAATCAGGGCTATCACAGAATCCATCGTAGCTTCGATTTTCGTGAAATCTACGAAAGTGCTATCACAGAAACCGAATAGCTACGAACGTAAATTCGAAATTCGTAGAGAGCCTTCATTGAATCCGTTCGTAATTAAGATTCGTACAGATGCATTATTGTTAATAATCAATATTTATTATAATCCAAATTTGTTTTAGTTTGACGTAATTCCATATATTTGTGTAAACGTAGACGTAAAATACCAATGCCATACATACATATATATGTATGTACATTAGGGCGGGTCGATTTAAAAATTGCTCATTGCTCTGTGAAAATCGTATTCTAGGGATCAAAATAAGAAACTTTGCCGAAGGAACCATACCTCTAAAACGAATTCTGATGTCCCCCAATTTGGGTCGAACTTTTGGGTAGGGGCAAATTTTGAAAAATCCCACTTTGACCCATTTAGAGTGCTCCAATCGAGTCCAAATGTATGACCGACCCCCACTAACTTTGGACGGCCGATCCACCCATGCCAGTGGCACACCCCCTGGACCTCCCCTGGGGGGTTCCCCATACAATCACTTCAAAAAATCACCATTTTTGGCCTTTACATGAAAAAATCAGCTAAATGGCTATGTTTTTTCTTTATTTTTATTTATTTATTTATAATAATATTTATTATTTATTTATAATAATATCTATTTTTTCTCTTAAGAAATTTATTTAGTCAGAACATATGTAAATGAAAAAATTAATTTAAGTGAGTTATAGAAAAGAAACTAAAAAAAATTATTGTTTGAAGTCTTTTTTACTTTCAAGTCTGGGCAATTTCGCACGGCTCTCTAATGTCGTCGCCATAACAGCCTCTACATTTTCCGGTATAACCCGTTTGGAAACGCTAGCTAGCAATTGAACATGTCGTTCCGTTCCTTGTATGTGTGATGGAATTTTTGGATCATTAAACGGTGGATCATCTTGATTTAAATATTCTTTCAATGTATCGTACGGAATGCTTCGCGTGAATGGTGGTTCAAATACGATATTTATATCATTCAAATTGATCATTTCCGTATAACTTGTGCAATTAAAGTTTATATCTGGTTTTTTATAAACTCTAAGTTCCATTGGCTCGTCAACATCGGTTCGATAGCGTAGAATTTTCTTGATGGCACAGTCGCGCTTTTCTTTGCTATCATCAAACAACATTGATAACAAGATATTTTCCGAATGCGCATAATATGAATTATCTTTAATTACTTGATTGACAATTTTGCGTAAACGAGGTTCTAGAAATCGTGACCAACCAATGAACTTGAAAAATAATGCACTGCCGTACACGACAGAGCTGTAATACTTGATATTGAAGTACATTGGCACATAACATTTAATTATAAATTCAACCAGAATTCTTAAATTTGCATCTGGATTTTCCGTTGTCACATATAATCGCAATAATCTAGCGGCCTTGGTGAGCCACCGAGAATGTACAATTTTCCCTGGTTTGATGTTAGCCAGATCCACCGGAACCACGCCGCTAGAAATTGCATGGGCCATGTCGTATAAGTACTTCGAATCGGTGGAAAATTAAATTTTTTCTGGAGCAGGGGGCATATTTTGCAACTCAATTTTCTGGAAGCCGTCCACCACCTGAAAATATATAATAATAAAATAATTAAAAATGGTTGACAATTATAATAAATGAGTGATAGCAATAACTTACCGGAAGAGTTTCACAAGTTTCGATTTGACGGCTCAGTTTTCCGGTTGCCGATCTTGGTCCAGTGCTGGTTGATTTATCCAAAGCTTCAAACAAATGCCGAAACGGAAGTTCGTTGAAGTGTAGAAGGCAAACGAACCAATGCAATGGTCTTTTTAACAGCAATTCGAATCGTCGTATAATTCCACCGTGTGGGCCAGTGTTTGTTGGCTCACCGTCAGTGCATATTCCAATTAATGCATCCAGTGATATATTTTTATCGTTGAAAAAACCATTTAATTTGGTTGTTTTGTATTCAGCGGTTTCATGTTCCAGTCTTACGTAACCAATCAATTCAGAATTGGGTTCTCTCAAAATAACAAGATGAGGTTCTTTTACCATCCTAGTATGATACTTCTCATCAATTTTATCTATCGTTAAAGTATCATCTTTTCTGCCATCGAATGAAAACGCTAACAAATTGGTATCATCTAACCGTTTGCGAAGCACTTCTTGTCTGCATTTCTCTTTTTCTCTGCGAACTTTCGATTTATCCATGATGAGAGGTTTCCCATGCTTATCTTTAATTTTAAAATCTTGCAAAAGAGCGGTTCCCAATGCTGATGCTACTCTGTCAGGCACACCAAATCTGTCACATACCAAGGCAAAGTTAAAACAATCGTATCTCTCTGTGTATTGTGAACTTGTGCTTCTATCCATATCTTCTTGAACCGGTGGCGGTGCGTATGTTGAATCATCGGGATCTTGGTATGTTGGCATTGATGACATAGACGTTGCTCCTTGCTCTTCAGTTTCCATCACAAATGCATCCATTGTTAGTCTTCTCTGATTATGTTGATCGTGCATGAACTCTTTGAGGCGTTCGGGAACCCAGCCGCATGCACATGGAGCTGCCTTCAAATCGCATTTACATGTTCCAATGTAAAAAATTGTTTCCAGAGATTTTACATACTCTGTAAATTGTTGGGTGTTGTTTCTTCTCTTGATTTGCTCTTGATACTTGTCAAGCAATTTATTCAATTTATTAAATACACTTTTTTCAGCATTATTTCCATACCAAGTTTTTCCCAAATTCCAATCAACTTATCTTGTACTTGAATAGTGAATGATTTATGGGAAAACTTTTTTTGTTCTGTTTTAGCACGTTCGCTTAAGTAAAAATAATATCTCAAGATATCCAGATGGGTTGGTAAATTAAGATCAGTTAAATCAGTAGACACACCAAAAACAGTAACATCATGCTTGGGTATATGACTCATTGGGTTTTCGATAGTTGTTGATGTAGTTGCTTCATCTTGCGGTGTAGAGGATGGTGGATTCATTGTAAACTTTTTGATTTGGAATGGTCACTTCACTTATTATTTTTTTTGAAATATTTTTTTATCTGAAATTAGCACTTCACACTTTGAGTTCTTCACAACGACTTAATGCATTCACAAAAACTGTTGCGTTATATATGGTCTACGAGACGAGGTAATAAGAATGAAATGGTAATTTCAATTCTACCTGCTGTGTCTTGTGGTGGCTTAAAAAAAACAACACAAGCAATTTTACGATCTGCAATTGTGTCACAGTGATACCTTCATTGTTTAAAAGGGTTGCGGAGCATTCCAGTGATACCTTAATTGTTAAAATGGTTGCAAAAAACGCGCATTTCTTAAGAAGGTGCCTTAAAATACCCACAAAAAGGGTTGTAAAAACAACCTTCATTTCTTAAGTAGGTGCTATAAAAAAACTACACAAGTAAGTTTACGACATGCAGCTGTGTCTTAAAAAACGCACACAAGCAATTTTCCGATTTGCAATTGTGTCACAGTGATACCTTCATTTTTTAAAACGGTTGAATAAAAAACCCACACAACTATGTTTACGACATGCAAATGCATCACAGTGATGCCTTGGTTTTAAAAGGGTTGTAAAAACGCTAATTTCTAATAATTTTTTTTAATTTCTTTTCTATTACTAAGTTAAATTCATTTTTTCATTTACATATGTTCTGACTAAATAAATTTCTAAAGAGAAAAATAAACTCCAAAAAGAAAAAACATAGGCATTTCGCTGATTTTTTCATGTAAAGTGCAAAACCGGCGATTTTTTGAAATGTTTGTATGGTGAACCCCCAGGGGGGTTCCAGGGGGTGTGCCACTGGCATCGGTGGGTCGGGCCTCCAAAGTTAGTGGGGGTCGGTCATACATTTGGACTCGATTGGAGCACTCTAAATGGGTCAAAGTGGGATTTTTCAAAATTTGCCCCTACCCAAAAGTTCGACCCAAATTGGGGGACATCAGAATTCGTTTTAGAGGTATGGTTCCTTCGGCAAAGTTTCTTATTTTGATCCCTAGAATATGATTTTCACAGAGCAATGGGCGATTTTTTTGCCTCCCCACAAATCGACCCGGCCTAATGTACATACATACATTCATACATTTCGAATCAGCATTCGAAGCTGGCAACGATATTTTCGAGTTCACTCGGATTCAGTGATAGCAATTTTTTCGTATTCGTAGCAGGCATTCGGATTCGTAGATTTTCTACGATGTATTCCGTGATAGCCCTGAATAATTTATTTTCCATATACACCTATTTAGCTCGCTATAAACACAAGTTTTTCAAACCAGTTGCAGAAGAAAGTATTAAAAATGAATTACAAGAACTCAAATGGAAAAACGCCGATGAAGTTACAGATTCCCCAAATTCTGAAACAGCCAATGGAAAGAAAATGAAGAATTCTTTTTAAAAAGCTTTAGAAAAACCTGGCATATGTATCTGGTTTGGCTTGTAAGCGCTGCTTAAACAAGGATCTCGCCATTATGCTAGATTCTAATTGTTTCTTAAAAATACTTGACATCCGCATTCCGCATAGAGGTGTCAAACTATCGATAGTCACACCATCGATAGTTTTGATAGTTTTCAGAAAAACTATCAATATTCACGATAGTCTCGAAAAAACAAAACTATCGATAGCGCTATCGATAGCGCTAAATCAGTTAGGTTGCTTTGTTTTTACAGGATCATAGTGAAATAAATATTATCTTATAAAAGTTATAATCATTCAGAATTAAGTAATTGCTTAGCCAAAATACTTCTCTTTTTAGAAAGTTCAAAAACAAACACAGGTTATACAAACAAAACAGGATCTACGATTAACATATGTATGTATAATTTCAAAAAAATAGGGAGAGATGATCGATAGTCCTACTAAACTATCGATATTTTTGATAGTATAAGAAAAAACTATCAATGAGTATTGATAGTCTAAAAAAATTGAAACTATCGATACTATCGATAGTTTGACAACTCTAATTCCGCAGATGTTAGCTGTTAGATATTCGCATCCGCATTCGCATCCGCGGATGTTTAAAATTCCACATTCGCAACATCCCTATTGTAAAAGAAGGAGCAGACTCGCCCAAAATATAATCTTTCATATTGGATGGGCTGAGGCCTTACATATAAAAGTATTGCTTCACATCTAGCCGGTCGAAATTTTTTAATTAAATAGGTTAAAACTCCTATTTGGTTTGAATTTGTGTCTTTCACCTCCTTTGCTTTTCAATGAATAACGACTTAAATTTTTGGGTAGGAAAATGCACTAAAACTACATTTTTAAATTTATGAGTTGACATTTATTTTCTCTGAAAATAGAGTTTATGTTCTTATTAGCACTAAAGTCATGAGTGCCTTGGTTCTTTATCGTCCTGATTATGCTCGCCAGATAATACTGACACGAAAGATTTATCACGTTACGATAATGTGAGGTTTAAAAATACGTTATCTATTTTTTCACTGTCTTGATTTGTAGTCCTTCACCCCTATGGCAACTGTCGACTAGTAGTAGATAAACGACTCTTATTCGATTATCGCTTTTTCATGGTATTGTGAATGTCGATTTCTCGTTCAATAAGCGACTGTGAATAGTTTTTTATAGCTCATTTTTCTACAACTGTTTGTTTGTAGAAGGATGAGCGACTATAAACTATTCACACGCACTTATTAAACTTATTAAACGAGAAAATACCACGAATAATCGATAATCGACTAACAGTCGTTTATCTACTACTAGTCCACAGTCGCAATAGGGGTGCCTAGTTCAAAAAGTAGCGGCAGTAAGCGGCTGATTTGATCATAATTATATTGTTTAATCTTTAACCTCTCATTATAAATTAAAATAATAATCCGGCAGAAACCGAAAGCAAATCTAAAAGCTTTTCAAATATAAAATTATGTTATATATTCAAGTAATTTCAAACGGTAATTTCAAACGATGTTTTCCAACGGTAATAAAACAAAGTCTTATCATTAAAAAATATAGTGAAATATTTCAAAAGTATATGTTCTTCACAAGTCACAGATCACAAAAATATCTACTTAAACCCGTCACAATCTCTATAGAGAACGAAAATTAATTTATACGCAGCGTTAGAATCTCTTAATTTCGATCCAAGGTAAACGTTCGCTGTGCAAGTTAGAAAGGTAAGAGGGCTTGGAAAATGATTTACGGAATATTCTCTATCAAGTGTGACTACTTTTTAAAATTTTGCAAAATTGACTTATGGCCGCCTACATATATCGTTCACCTATGTGTGACGTGACGACTTTGAAATTTGAAAAATATAATTAAGTAGTTCAAAATTTTTTTTACAAAAATCAATGTAATTTAGAAAAACAGTGTGGGTATCAAATCAAAGAGAATTTCTGTAAAATTAAAACAGATTAAATTTTTTGGTGCACAAGGACGAGTAGTTATTTATTTTAGCCACCGCTGTCTTTCCAAGTACTAACGACTTTCATACTTTTGTTGTATATTCTTATTCGGACACCCCTACTCCCCCTCTCATAAAGATTTGAAGTCAATCCAACAACAATAATAAAACCAGCAGGTAAAAATGTAAATTAAGGCAAATGTTACAGTTTTGCACTCACTCTCAGTTTGCATTTTACAGTTATCTTTTACTTTGTTGGAAGTCAGATGACTTTTTTCTGTATTGCAATTTATTCAAGAAGTGATTGCCAGTAAATAATATGGTTAATCAGGAAACATAAATGTAAATAATAGATTTACTGTGGAAACGCGTGACCGTAGGAAAAGTGGCAAAAAATTGTGGTGCTCGCCACATGAAAATGTTAAGACTGAGAAAAAATATAGCCGAAACACACTGTTCCTGAATTAATTAAAAGTTCACTAAAACGTACGACAAAAATTTAAAATGCAACTTGGTTCGTTATCACCTCCGTAACCAAAATCCAATTTCACCAAAATCGTATCAGCCTTTTTTTTGCGAAATATTGACATTCAAGAATTGCAAAATTATAAAAATTTCAGAACAAACTTTTGTTCTCATATTTTTTTTTAATTCGTGGGATATAATTAAGATAACAGTTATAAGTAACTATCTGAACAGCCCTTGGCTCGTTACCACATAATTCTTTTGCAGAAAAATCGTTAATATTGTATTTCTTGTTTTGATTTATTTTTAATAAATATTGTTAGCGTTTCAATACGTTCTGATTTAATAAGTAATTGTATAATACTGAAAGTGTGTCTAGGCAAGTTGAGTTTTATTTACAAATATATAATAAACCATGTCGTATTACCGAAGTCATGAAGAAAACGGAAAATAAGTATATGCACAGTGTGGAAGAAAAATACTGTTGGGAAAAAAGTAAGTCGAATTTGTTAAACCAGCAATAAAATGAATAAAACAAAATAAGTAAAGCTTTCGTTAAAATAACTAAAAGCCAAATAGTGAAAGGAAAGCTCTAATGAAAGCCTAACTTATTATATTTTATTCATTCTGGTGCAGTTTTAACAAACCTTTCTTGCTAAAAAATCTGTTGTTACAATATTTTACTTCATTTTTTTGATTGTACATACATGTTAAATAAAAGCTTCTTTAAAAAAAAATATATTCTTTTACATTATTTTGTTTNAAATAGTGAAAGGAAAGCTCTAATGAAAGCCTAACTTATTATATTTTATTCATTCTGGTGCAGTTTTAACAAACTTTTCTTGCTAAAAAATCTGTTGTTACAATATTTTACTTCATTTTTTTGATTGTACATACATGTTAAATAAAAGCTTCTTTAAAAAAAATATATATTCTTTTACATTATTTTGTTTAACATTTTTTATTACTTTTGAAAGTTGAGCGCATCTTGTGTTTAAAGAACCTTTTATTAAACAAGTAATTTTTAAGCAAAAAACACATCCGACTTCAATTCTCATATACAAATTTAAGAATACCGTTAATTTTTTCTTGATCCAATGATCGGATATAAACCAAATTACGGGACGACCCGACGAGGTGCCATCTTTCCGATCAAAAAAAGAATTATAGAAATCAGTTCACGTGGTCCAAAGTTATGCGATAGCATATATAAAATAAATAAAAAAATTCTACGAATTGATAGCCTCCCGCTTTTTTGAGTCGGTTAAAAATGTTTGAGTCCTTTTTTAAATTTATATAAAAAAGTAAAATTTATANGCCATCTTTCCGATCAAAAAAAGAATTATAGAAATCAGTTCACGTGGTCCAAAGTTATGCGATAGCATATATAAAATAAATTAAAAAAATTCTACGAATTGATAGCCTCCCGCTTTTTTGAGTCGGTTAAAAATGTTTGAGTCCTTTTTTAAATTAAAAGTAAAATTTATGAAACTTTAAAATTTGTATTTATTTATTACATACTGTACATAAAACTTGCATAAATGTATTTTAAGAGCATATTATCTGAAGCGAATTTTCAGTATTTTCTGGTGATATATC